TGGCTCTCTATAACTCTGGGGTGTCTGTTACCTTGTGTATGGTAGGCGCTACACGTAAGTACAAGTAAATTTATGTAATTTTTGGTAGTCCAGCGTGATTTGTATGTGTTAATGTTATCGTATTTATTATTGTTATTCTTATTTCACACGTACAAAGTGCCTATATATTTACCAGTGCTTGCATGTAATTGGAATGCTGGTGGTACCAAAGAATGTTGATAAAATTTTAATAATGACACAAATGTTATTTTATTGCTAAATTTCCAGTTCGTTTTGAAGTTGTACAAAACATGCAGATAGCATTACAATATTATACACGTAATAATAAAATACTTCATGTTTGCTGTTGGAGCTTTGAAACTACTGAACATAGAACAAAATAAGTTGCGTTCCACGATTTAAAGGTGCATATGGAATAAAGGAGTAAATAAATCTTTCAGTCTTAAATTCTGGCACATTTTGCCATAAAAGCTAACCAAAATGCCAGCATATAGTTTTTAGTAGTATAACTAAGATGATAACCAAAAGACACTTTTTAATTTTACCCGAAAAATCATATCTGAATGGATTTGCTGCTGTATATCAATGTGGCAGAAAACTAGGTCAGGAAAGTAGATAAAGTTTTTGACCAAAAATTTAAAGAAAGGAGCAGTCTAAAGCTCTTTTTGGCAGAACGAGTGATTTATTCAGTTTATCCCTTAACATGTTGATTTTATTTGAGCCGTATAAGAAACTAGTAGAAGTGGTTTATGTGTTACTGGGAATCCACCGATGCTTGGTTAATATGTACCTATCATGTGAATTTGAGGTGAAAGAGGTTGTATTTTCACCTATTCAGTGCCCTCTTCCAGTAATCCTAATTTCCAACTTTAATCCATTAATTTTTTTTATTTCAAAAAAATAAGTAATTAATTACAACAAAACATTTCCTTGGTCTTTCTACCTACATTTTATTAATCCGACCTTATCTTTTCAGGGACGGAGAGAGCGGTGAAATCATTCGTAGGCATGTTTGGCAGTGACTGGCACAACACCATACAGCCAGTAGAACCAGAACTTGTTGCCTTGGAGATCACCAAGGCAACTGTTACTAGGCAATATGAAGTATACACTAGCACAGATATACCATTCAAAATATTCATATCTTTAAGGTTACTGTTTCCAAATTTTGCTGATAAAATGCTTAAAAGCTTTTCAGTCTTGTAAATATCACCCTAGCTTATACCTTAGAACTACAAAAGTTTATACGGAATCGTTTTTTAATTGCAAATGGAAAGTAATGTTTTAAGGATCTTACCAGTAGTGGTCATTTTCATCCAACTTCTTTACAGAATATATGTACAACTTTGTCTACTGTCAATCAAGACAGACAATAGCTTGTATTTCAAGAAAAATATATTTATTTTTCATTAATTGCAAAGGTCAACAGTTGTGTCTCAAATCTCAGCAGTACAGAGAAGACAGAATTGTTGATAAACTTCCTGGTATGATGCCAGCTAAATCACTGTATTGAAGTCTGTAGTTAATACTGCTGTTAGTTATTATTAAATACACCTTGCATAACACTAATATATACGCATATCAGGCTTGGATTAATTTCACTCTGTATAAACAATAACATATGCACATAATTGATGCATAAACAATATAAATGTTTGATCAACCAATGCTGAAGTTTGTAAGCATATTATATGAGGCCCACCATGCTAATGAAATTTTTCTGACTGAATAATAAAAAGTAAAAAATCCCACAACAACCAAGTGATAATCTGGCCGAATATTACATTCTGTATGTAAGACTAGAATATCTGAAAAAGATGACTTCATTTTTTACATATCATGGCTCCAACTTTATACATAAGGCTATCAAGACGCACAGAGATGCTTTGTAGTTTTAACAAATTTTATGCTGCACAACGTTTCTTATACTGTTACACACCCACAAATGATCACACACATACACACACCCTTATACTTTATAAGATAGAGATAATATATGTTTGTCGGCCACAGCTGTTCAGTAAATCAAAAGTATTAAATTGACATTCTAAAGAAGAGAGAGAAATTCTATTTATGTGGACATACACTGTACACCACAGTGTATAAAAACAGTTCAGTCTATTTTAATAGAACAACCTATTTTAATTCTATTTATGAGGACATACACTGTACACCACAGCGTAAAAAAACAGTTCAGTCTATTTTAATAGAACAACCTATTTTAAAACAACTTGGCTCCTTGCACTTGACAGCATAGTGCTGTTTCTTTTTGTTAAATATAAACAACAGTTAAAACCCAGAGGGAAATTCGCTGTTACAGTTGTATCTGTTTTGCGATAATTGAAATTTATGAATACATAATGATAATATGCCAATAACTGAAATAAACAGAACAAGGAAAACAAGGGATCATTTGACCATTCAAAAAGCTAATTTAAATCATAATGCAGTCTGTACAAAAAAAGAGATATAAAAATATGGTAATGTTTATATATATATATACAAATATATGACTAAAATGGCATCCAGAGTTTTGGAGTTTCCAGTAGACTGCCAGTAAGCTCTATTATCAGCTTGTCTCCCCTCCCTTTCTGGAAGACATGATGATTACACAGGTCAGTCTACAGTAAACTGCCAGTAAGCTCTATTATCAGCATGTCTCCCCTCCCTTTCTGGAAGACATGGTGATTACACAGGTCAGTCTACAGTAAACTCTTAATCTCTGGGTACAAAAGGACTGCCTTGGCATGAACCCCCACCCCCATACACCAGTAGTTACAATGTATTTATTTACTTAAGGACCCAAATAAATTTAACATGGATAAAATGATATTGGCATTATTATGAACTGAAACAATGGTTACTATGTAACTGTATATGACGGCATGGTCTGTCATGGCATGTTGTCATGGCAACAGTTACCATGGTACTGAATGTCAGGTCATGGACTGTCATGCCATGTTGCCATGGCAACGGTTACCATGATACTGAATGTCTGGCCATGGACTGTCATGCCATATTGTCACGGCAATGGTTACCACGGTACTGAATGTCAGGCCATGGACTGTCATGGCATATTGTCATGGCAACAATTACCATATACTGAATGTCAGGTCATGCACTGTCATTGCATATTGTCATGGCAATGGTTACCATGACACTGACTGTCAAGTCATGGACTATCATGACATGCCATATCTCTTTGTTCTTTATTTTGATAACTCTCTAAATGCATAATGTCAGCAGTGAGAGGGGGGTACATTGTAAACACCAAGTATTCTGACCACAGCACCAATGTTAAGAGTTCCTATTCTCCTCTCTCTCTACTGGTACACAGCTCCTAGTAATGTTCTCTTCACTGTCTTCTGGCATATTTCATGTCCTGATAAAATATTTCAGTTTCCATGTGCTTCACTTTCCTTTCTGCCCCAAACTGACCATGTGCAATTATTATTAACGCCTCACTATCTGATGAGTTGATGTAGTTCACGCCTCACTATCCGACCGTTCCCGCACTTCCATCTCCAGTTCCACCGTGCTGCCACGCTTGTGTGTCCGCATCAGTTCATGGTCTTCTTCTACCTGGCCCTCAATAGCCCTCCTCACCTGCAAGCACAAAATGCAGGCTGATTGCATCACCCCATGCTGTGATTTGTTAAACTTGTTCCATCATTCTCTGACCTATACTTTGAGAGTGTAACACCTTACACAAGACTTGGGTCACACAAAATTTAACAAAGGCTGAGTAATACTGTAACAACTTTCAAACACATTAAGCATTTACTTTTCTAGTGCCAAATAGCAGCAATTCTGATGTTTACAGTGTTATATAGTTATGATAGTAACATGTTGTTGTGTGTTTACCTCTTTAAGTGTAACCACTCCTACCAACCTCCCTGTATTGGTGATATAGACATGGTTCAAGTTTACAGTATTATATAGTTATGATAGTAACATGTTGATGTATGTGTGTTTACCTCTTTAAGTGCAACCACTCCTACCAACCTCCCTGTATTGGTGACATAGGCATGGTTCAGGCCTAGCAGTGAGAACAGAGAATGAACCTGGAACACAGCCACAACCACATAGTGAGAAAGAAGTGAAACAGTGAAGTCTTAACTACTTAGGTACTGTAAAGAATGCATGTACAATTCAGTTCTTCCATGCCATTATGACAGATCAATTTCATCCAAGAATAAGCTGAAACACTTTGTCAGATTCCTCTGCATTGATGCTAAAATTTATTTTGATTGAATGACCCTCTCTTTTTTCAATTCCCCAGTCATTATTGAATTTTGGAAACAGTTTTATTTATGTAAAAGACAGAGATGCAGATAAAATGAACATTCTTTAAAACCAACCATGCATTTTCTAAATGTTCTGTTTTTTTTTTTTGTTTTTTTTACATCTTACTTTCTGTAAGGAAGTCCTCTCCACTAGCTGGAAGGGGGCGGGGTCTATCTGAGCCTCTTCAAACTTCACCTGACATTTCAACTGCTCTTCCTCCCACTGTCTTTGCTACAGAATAAACATCAGTGTCAAAACAATGTCACACCATGTCAAAACAATGTCAACCCACTATCAAAACAATGTCACACCACTAAAAAAACAACGTCACTGTCAAAACAATGCCAAACCACTGTCAAAACAATGATACTGACAAAACAATGTCACACCACTGTCAAATCAATATTACAGCACTGTCAAAACAATGTCACTGTCAACATAATGTCATAACACTATCAAAATAATGTCACACCACTGTCAAAACAAGGTAAAAAAAAATTCAACAATCCAGTTTAATTTTGGCAGTGAGCAGATCAATACTAACATTATCATAAGACTGTCAGAAACTGAAGCTGCCCCTGAATTCTAAGCCTATATATTTGACGCTTTCAACAAGCTAATCTTTAACCTAATTTTTGTTGTTGGAGAAAAACTATGATTATCGTTCACAGTGAAAGTTAAAAATATTTGTACAATTCTATTTACAGTATTTGGAGTGACACTAGGCTGTCGACATGAAAGTTTCAGCTAGGTTCAAATACTCATACTGACTATCTAGGGTAACACTCTCAAACTTTAAATACAATGAGTGCCAAGGGATGGGATTGCACAGGACCCTAAAATAACACCACTTCGAATCTTAAATTTTCTGAGTCACATGCCTTTAATGTCTATTTTTTGACACTTCAACCCTTTTTATTTGTCCCTGACATCAATAAGGGAAAAAAATTAACAAGTAGCACAAAAATTAGCATAATATAATCTGGTCACTTTCTTTCAGGATTTAAAGCTTCTGTGAAAATAACCAACTTCCTCTTCCTTTTTACCTCTGCCAAGGATGTTATGTTTTCACCCCTGTTTGTCTGTTTGTTTGTCATCAATATAACTCAAAAAGTTATGGACCGATTTTGATGACATTTTCAGGAACTGTCAGAAGTGGGCCAAGGAGGAGATAATTAGTTTTTGGTGGTGATCTGGATCAATGATCAATCAATATTCAATAATAATCAAAACTCGGCAGAGGTCTGCACTCTCGGAGTGCTTTTCTAGTCTAAACTTGGTTTGGAATTCTAGGTTAGGTTTGATTCAACTAAAAACATTAACCATGGGTTCAAAACTGATATCAGTTTTAACAATAAGTTATTTTTCTTCAATCAACAGCAAATATTGGCAGCTAATTATAACCTCCAATATTTCATTGTGTCTCAAGCATATATACATGAGGGAATGGGACAATATTAACCGCCAAATGTTATCTGTTGATTGAAGAAAAATTAATTAATTTTTCTAACATAACACTGCTGAAATTTTTCTCTGAACACAGCACACATCATGCTACTGGTACTTTACCTCTTCTTCACTTAAATCTATCACTCTCTGTGGAGGCTTGCAAATGAAGAGAAATAATCCAATGACAGAATGATAACTTTTTGAAATCAGTTAATGTTTGAAATATAGAAATGTGCTGTTTTAATATATAAATAAAATGCACAAAATCTTTATAAAGGCTATAGATCTCAACACCTATACCTTGCAAATAAAACAAGGTTTTAAAAGAACATTCTGTTGTTAACCAAGTAGGTCAATTTCAGTTAAGTTAAAAGTCAGTCTTGTCTTAAATTAAGAATTTCTGTTGTATGTCATTTAGACTTAAAGTTGAAGCAAAATTTAAGTCAAGTCCATTTTCTGAAACTGGTTCTAGATACTCTCTAAAGTCAATATAGTATGTAACCATGTGTCAGTTCACTGCAAGCTGCTCTAGTGAAGACACTGTGGCTCTCATCACTGCAAGTTCTACAATCATAAAATAATTCCAAACACAACAAACATATGACAAACAGATCAAATATACCACATATCACACCTTAATAGAGGCATTCCTGAAATCAACTTACCGTAAAACACATTAATATCCATAAAATTCACTAACATCATTTACCTTTTCTTCATCTTAAAAAAGTCTGAAAATTTTCAGTTATACAATCTGCTGACCTGTTATGTGATGTTTTCACCAAGTCAAGCAATTTTAATGGCCAAACTTAACAGACAGCCAACCTGTAGTCTATACACCCCTTAACAGTGTCTGGGGTATAATATTACTAGAGTATCATCACAAGTGATGCAATATTCCACAGGAAAGCTAAACATCTAAAATATAATTATACATTTATAAGCTAGCAAGAAAAGCATTTTTACTAAGTCACTTCTAAAAAGCAACCTTAAAATTAGCCTTTAACTATGAAATATTAGGTAAGCCTAGGAAATTAAAAAAAAAAAAGAAATAATATTTATATCTATAAAATCATTATTAATAAATATTATTATACATAAAGAAATAACTGCTTTACATCCCAATTGTCAAATGACTGTCTCAATATAACTTATTTTGGCACATTTCTTGGTCTCTTCATCCAAGACTGACCTTGTGATGGACAAATGACAATTTCCTGACCTTTACATCTGACCCCTCCCTGACCTTCACTTCACCTCTGACCCCTCCCTGACCATCACTTCACCTCTGACCTTGCCCTGACCTTCACTTCACCTCTGACCTTGCCCTGAACTTCACTTCACCTCTGACCTCCCCTGAACTCTATTTTCACTCTTGCTCCTCCCTGATCTTTACTTCACCCCTGACCTCCCCCGACCCTGACTAGACCCCAGTATCCTCCATGATATCATATTATTAGCTCTGGGATGCAGTGACTGACACATAACAATATTTATTACTTTTAAAAACATCACTGATAATTACTGACATGGGTAGTGGCAGTATTTCCAACGTATAATTTATACAGTGCAGCAGATCTGCCAGCCTCTGTTTATTTTGTTTATGAAAGCATGGTTCAGGACTTACCTGCATGTTCATCACTTTAACATTTTCTCTAGTAAACCCATGACATCAAACTTACCTCTTGTAAGTCCATGACATTAAATTGAACACTTTTGCCACTTCGCACAGAGTCAGTATATTGCTCAGGGAAACCGTCTAGAAGAGACCTCTAGTGCAGAAAATGCAGGGAAAGGAAAATGAAGAAAAACATGCAACAGAAAGAATTACCATGACAACAAATACTAGGTTTACACTCACATTTCAGTACAAGCCAATAAATCGAACATTCTGAGCAAAAAAAAAAAAAAATAAATAAATGAATAAATATATAATAAAATAAATAAATAATAAATAATTTTCTGACGAATAAATAAGTTTTATCAATGTTGATTACATCCATGAGAGTGTAATACCTAAATTTATTGACTGCAAATTAAACTATCTAAGAAACAGCAAGTGCAATGTAACTTTCAACCCAATATTAATAGAAATCCACTGTTAATAATAATGTTCTACATACTGGGCATCCTTAAACATCAACAATAAATATGTGCATATGACAATCCATCACTTGAAGCCTTGCTTTAAAATAAATATTTGGAAAATTGTGTATTTGACAATAATTTGATATGCAAATATAAGGGTATGGATATCATGCACACGTTATAAAGGTAAATTGTTGACTGATAAGGTATTAAATATGCTGCACATGCACATAACAGAGTTGACTAATAAGGTTGACTGGGTTACCATGCCTAGATTGATCTTAGAGGATCTATTTACCTCCAAGGGGTTTCTCCCTAAATTGCTTTCAGTTTAAGCAGCTTAGATGTCTGGCACACCTGCTAAAGCTGCTTAATGAGTTAATTACCCCCTGACAGCTTCAGTGGGTGTGAGAGACATCTAACTGCTTAATTTGATAGCAATTTAGTGGGAATCCCCCTGGACCGATCCAAAGTTAGTGTGATAGGCTCTGGGAATGGTGTCTTAAATATGCTGCACATCAAAGTGCTGGTTTAATGGTGTTTTAACTGCTACATATCATGTACAGGGATGGGAACAAACAATGTTAGGAGAGGAAGGCACCTGCCCCTACCTATCAACGCTGACGTCTCCTACTCTTCTAGTATTTCTAACGTAATGTAGTTGTCTTTTCTGCTTAAAATTTGGGAAATGTCCATCCCTGTAATTCAAAATTTGAAGGAGGATGCTCCCATCCCTGTACTATAAAATTTAAAGAGAAAGTAAGGAGGAAGGGTATTTCTTGACAACTGAAATCAAATAATAAAGGTGTTAGTATACATAAAGACATATTTTTAAAGCATGCCAATGGATGAAACACCATAAATCATAAGATTTTAGGCCACCAGGCCTAAGCATGCAAGGTATTTATGCTGTACACAGGAAAGTATAGACAGTAGGAAGAAACATCATTAGTAGATGTCAGATGAAGATAACCATTGTGCAGGAGTGGGGGGGGAGTGGCAGTCAGTTAAGGAACTTCCCCAAATATGTACAACTAGTAGTTATAAGCTGGTGCACAGAGAAAGCAAAAAGCAGCTGACCCCTGTCAATGTCAGTGCATGTTCATCTTCATTTTCAACTGGTTTTTGTTCATATGCCATTTTATACTTCCCAACAGAATTGTTTGCACAATATCATCTGTTAAGAATGTTATAAATCAGTGTTCATCCATTGAATTCAATTGGGCAGCAGCCATTGGACAATTCCCCTCATAACAGTTTACATGATAACACCACCCCTATACTATTACCACCATCACTGAACAACAACTGAGGACATGATCTCACAAATCGATCCTCTGCACCAAGGTGGCAACCTACAGGGAGAGTAAATGTGCTCCAACTTGTGATGATTCTTTGATATCTGCATGTGTCGTTTATCAAAATGCCAGACATATTTATGGGATTCGAACTACATGAACAGTCAGAAAACCAGTCCAGTTTTTATAGTGTCTCATCTTGGGTTGCTCTGAAGTTCTTTTGGATGTGAAGACTATTAATTGATTACAAGAAAGAAAATAATAATACAATTGTTTATAAAATAAAACTGTATATCAATCCAAGCAGTCAGGGTCTCAAGAATATATGTTTCAATCCAAATGAAAATAATTTTGTAGACAAAACATATTGGTTTTCACTGTGAGCAGAAAAAAATATCAAAACAGAAGCAACTTTTGGTGCAGATGCTATTTTTGTTAGAACACCCCTACAAAATGATTAGAATCTACTTTGCATTACATTTTGACAAATGGGTTCTGTTCTTTTCAATCAGCAGTAAAGGTGTATTTCTCTATAGTTTCCTAAGTCTATCTATTATAACATTACCTGTAGTCATGCCTTTCTGTCTCATCTTCAAAAATGACCACAGCAAAACTACAGCATTCAGATAGTATTCTTAGCAAAATCCAAACAGAAAATAAGTAAAAATCTTCACACTTTGACAACTGCAATCATCAAGCTATACTTACAGACACAAGGACAGCTCTGAAAATTTTACCATATAAGAAAACTAAAATCAAGCCACACAACGGCAACCAACAGTCTTGCTAGGAATTACTAACAAAAAATGGGTTATGATAAAACACACTCACAGCAATCTGCTACAAAAATTAAATCACCTACACACTGCAGTCAAAAGTTGTGAAACAATGGCAAAACATGTGGTCAAAAGCTGTGGTCACATGACTAGATAACAAGTCACATGATCAAATAAAACGTGGTTTGTAAAGCAGCAGCCATCTTCTTACCAGCTTTACATGGGCATGTTTGCCACGCCTGTGTAAGAACCTGTCAGNGTTATAAGCTGGTGCACAGAGAAAGCAGATAGCAGCTGACCCCTGTCAATGTCAGTGCATGTGCATCTTCATTTTCAACTGGTTTTTGTTCATATGCCATTTTATACTTCCCAACAGAATTGTTTGCACAATATCATCTGTTAAGAATGTTATAAATCAGTGTTCATCCATTGAATTCAATTGGGCAGCAGCCATTGGATAATTCCCCTCATAACAGTTTACATGATAACACCACCCCTATACTATTACCACCATCACTGAACAACAACTGAGGACATGATCTCACAAATCGATCCTCTGCACCAAGGTGGCAACCTACAGGGAGAGTAAATGTGCTCTAACTTGTGATGATTCTTTGATATCTGCATGTGTCGTTTATTAAAATGCCAGACATATTTATGGGATTCGAACTACATGAACAGTCAGAAAACCAGTCCAGGTTTTTATAGTGTCTCATCTTGGGTTGCTCTGAAGTTCTTTTGGATGTGAAGACTATTAATTGATTACAAGAAAGAAAATAATAATACAATTTTTATAAAATAAAACTTTATATCAATCCAAGCAGTCAGAGTCTCAAGAATATATGCTTCAATCCAAATGAAAATGATTTTGTAGACAAAACATATTGGTTTTCACTGCAAGCAGAAAAAAATATCAAAACAGAAGCAGCTTTTGGTGCAGATGCTGTTTTAGTTAGAACACCCCTACAAAATGATCAGAATATACTTTTCATTACATTTTGACAATTTGGTTCTGTTCTTTTCAATCAGCAATATAAGTATATTTCTCTATAGTTTCCTAAGTCTATCTATTATAACATTACCTGTAGTCATGCCTTTCTGTCTCATCCTCAAAAATGACCACAGCAAAACTACAGCATTCAGATAGTATTTTTAGCAAAATCTAAACAGAAAATTGGTAAAAACCTGCACACTTTGACAACTGCAATCATCAAGCTATACTTACAGACACAAGGACAGCTCTGAAAATTTTACCATATAAGAAAACTAAAATCAAGCCACACAACGGCAACCAACAGTCTTGCTAGGAATTACTAACAAAAAATGGGTTATGATAAAACACACTCACAGCAATCTGCTACAAAAATTAAATCACCTACACACTGCAGTCAAAAGTTGTGAAACAATGGCAAAACATGTGGTCAAAAGCTGTGGTCACATGACTAGATAACAAGTCACATGATCAAATAAAACGTGGTTTGTAAAGCAGCAGCCATCTTCTTACCAGCTTTACATGGGCATGTTTTCNTGATGCTATATATATATATATATATATATATATATATATATATATATATATATATATATATATATGTATGTCTCTTATGATATTCACGATGCTATATATAATATAATTAGATATACTTGAGTCCTCACACTGCTAATCCTTCATAAGTAGAATACAGAACCCTGTAAATATTGACTTTTAAACTAAAATATTCCATGCTGTTTATCAGTTTGTTGCCATAGTTACCTGAGCTTCATCATCTTCGGAAGTTGTACTGTCCGCGATACTTTCTTTACTTCGAGATTTGAAAATCTTTGCCAGCCCAATGCTGAATTTCTTTTCTGTAAAATCAAAATTAATCAAACTTCATTATCAAAATAAACAGAGAAAGGTACATGGAAAACAATAGTGTGATGGTAAATAAACCTAAGGGTGTATATACTATATAGGTACCTGTTATAGAGGGTTAAAATTATCTTTTTAAATGTAAGCAATTTTTAACCTCATCTTGCATCAAGCTAAGGCCACACTTTTTTATTTTTATGGATGACATCCTGCGCGCGCACCGATTTTCGCCCGTTCTCCGAAAAAAAAAAAAATCCCCCCCCCAGCCCCCAACGAAGTCGGTTGTCGCAAACGTCGGAAATGAGTTTTCTGCGCATGCGTATTATCGCCACGTGGAAATGTGACCGCTTTGCCGTTAAGTTCATCTCTAGGATTACTTTCAAATTACACGACAATTAAAGTCATAAAGAGAACGGGTGCCGTCGTTTTGGATTGGTATGCCATTGATATTTGGCATGGAGATATCACCTTTTTACAATTGTGCGAAAGGCTGTCAGCCGCCAGCGATTATAGCCCGAAAAATTTCAGTGACATTCTGTACAAAGCAGCACATAGGCTACCAGGTTTTCTGTAGCGAAAAAAGGGTCGACAAGGGCGTCGAGGTATTTGGTGGGCTGAAGGTCGGACGGGCCACCTGACAGTTTGGCCGTGTGAGTCGAAGTAGACAAAATGGCATCGTCCGAAATGACCTTTAATAGATTTGGTAGTAGGCCTATTAAGCATATCTGTGAAACTTTTCTGTGAAGTGTTCAAAATGCTTTAATATTCTGAGAATACAAATAAAGACACACTGTTTGTTTGATGTTTGTTTTATTGATTGCTATACCAACAAAATGCATGAAATAACCTTAATAGATTTTGTGATAAGAAGTATATCTATTCATGACTTTTTTTTTTTACATTTCTACGAAGTATTCACAATGCTTTAATATTTTGAGAGCATGGATAAAGACATATTATTAGTTTGATACGTGTTTCTGTGGTAAAATTTGTGTTTCCAGCTGTGCACTGACAGCATTCCTCTACTTAAGCAGTATTTTTTTTTCTTTTTCTTTTGGACCGTTTTTTTTTTTTTTTCGCCCTCTCGCACCGATTTTGGGGTACCCAGAGGATGTCATCCATAAAAATAAAAAAGTGTGGCCTAATGTAAAGATTACTTAATAATCACATTACTCTAATTCAGTAATTTTGAATAATTATTCATGATCATTCGTTTTTTTTATACCAAATTATATACACTATACCCTTCTTTTTTTTTTTTTTTTGAGAAATTGCAGTGTGATTTTAATAAAAACTGGAATATTTTCTAGACAGTCCTTTAACTTAGCCATATTCTTAATACATCAAAAGTTAACTTTCAGACCAGTGTAGTAGCCCAGAGCTGGCTAACCTAACTGTGGGCTGGGTGTGGGGCTTGTCTTGGCAGACCCTGGTGGACTAGAGCGAGGTGAAGACTGAGGACTTCCTTTAGGACTGGCCCTGGGACTAGCCCAGGGGCTGGGACGGGGACTCTTCTTTAATATCCCTCTCTGTGGTGCCTTGGTGTACTTGTGCGGTTTCAGCGTGTCTCCATTAGCTGTTTGTTCTGGTGGCTGGAATGATGGCAGAGATAATGTAGTAATATCATTTCACATATATTATCACACCATCTGGTTCGGTCTAACTCCCAGGGAAGTCTCAATAAATTGCTATGAAATAACTGGCTTAAATGTCTGTCAAGCCCACCAAATAAGCTAGGGGGTAAAGATAATTACACCCTAACAGCTTTACTAGGCCTGAAAGACATTTAAGCCAGTTAAGTCGATAGTAATTAAGTGAGGCTCCCCTGGGAGATAGATTGCTCCAAACATCTGTGGAATGGTCCCTATGATTATCATTCAAATCCACAAACACACACACACTGTTTACCGTGGAGTCCAGCTTCAACTGGACATGTCCGCCACTGTCCACCTTGCTGGCTGCAGGGGTCACTGTAAACCTGGCCGATGGCTGGCGGTGGACCTTCACAGCGTTCAACATATCTCCACTGCAAGCTGCCATTGGTCGCGTCCCCTCGGTATCGCCTTGGGACGCCCTCTTCTCCAGTTGTTCCTTGGCTCTCTTCCTCTCCTCCTCTTCCTGTTGCCGTTTATGTAATGCTTCTTCCACTGCTGCCAGGCGGCGCTGTCGTCCAAGCTGAGCCTCCAGTAACAGTTCCAGCTCCAGTCTCTGTACAGACCCAAGGAGAATCATGGACTCTGGAAATATACACAACATAATGGATATGATTGTCTTCTGAATGTCATAGCATTATACTGTATACATATAACAATATGTTAGTGGTCTAAATACTAAAAATAAATGTCTCATATATAACTGTTATAAACTGTTTGGTGAAAAAGTTTATCGGAATATCAGAGGAAAGGTGCTTTCAAACCTGATAATATCATGTAAAACTGACATACTAGAATATAACACTANAAACCTTACATCATGGTCACTCTATTACTATATAGATATTATATATCTTCAAGTATTAACTATTAACTTCAAACTGGTACTTCATGTATGAAGAGACTTACAGCACATGCAAAAGATATAAATAAATAAAATATAACATTAAACACAGATAAATAGATAAATGTAAACTTAGCCACTACCCTCACGATGCTATATATATAATATGATGTAGATATAATATGATATAGATATATATGACTCTTATGATACTCACGATGCTATATATAATATAATATAATATAATGTAGATATACTTGAGTCCTCACACTGCTAATCCTTCATAAGTAGAATACAGAACCCTGTAAATATTGACTATTAAACTAAAACATCCCATGCTGTTTATCAGTTTGTTGCCATAGTTACCTGAGCTTCATCATCTTCAGAAGCCGTACTGTCCGCGATACTTTCTTTACTTCGAGATTTGAAAATCTTTGCTAGTCCTATGCTGAATTTCTTTTCTGTAAAATCAAAATCAATTAAACTTCATTATCAAAATAAACAGAGAAAGGTACATGGAAAACAATAGTGTGATGGTAAATAAACCTAAAGGTGAATATACTATATAGGTACCTGTTATAGAGAGATAAAATTATCTTCTTAAATGTGAGCAATTTTTAACCTCATGTTGCAGCATCAGCACTCTGCATCAAGTAATCTAATGGAAGGATTACTTAATAATCACAATACTCTAATTTAGTCATTTTAAATGGTTATTCACATCATTCAAATTTCGTTACTCAATACAAAATTACATACACCATACCCTTCATTTTTTTTTAAATTTATTTTTATTTATTTATTTATTTATTATCATTATTATTTTCGAGAAACTGCAGTGTAATTTTATTGAGAATTTAAATATTTTCAAGACAATTTTGGCCCTTAAATTAACCATATTATCTATCAGGGTGTATGTACTGTGTTGAAACCAAAAACAATATTATTGCAACTTTTATTTTTTTTTACTTATATAATATATTATTAATGGTTGGGGTGTAGCTAGGTGGATGATACATAATTACCTAGGTAAAATAACTACACTTATAACACACACATATACAAGACTGCGTTCCATCAAAAGTTTACTCTGAGAACAATGTAGTATCACAGAGCTGACTAACCTAACTGTGGACTGGGTGTTGGGCTTGTCTTGGCAGACCCTGGTGGACTAGAGCGAGGTGAAGACTGAGGACTTCCTTTAGGACTGGCCCTGGGACTAGCTCGGGGGCTGGGACGGGGACTCTTCTTTAATATCCCTCTCTGTGGTGCCTTGGTGTACTTGTGTGGTTTCAGCGTGTCTCCATTAGCTGTATGTTCTGGTGGCTGGAATGACGGCAGAGATAATGTAGTAATATCATTTCACATATATTATCACAACTCTCTGGTTAATAAAGATTAAGACTGGGTTCTCATGCCTAGATCGATCCATCTGGATTGGTCTAACTCCCTGGGAAGTCTCAATAAATTGCTTTAAAATAACTGGCTTAAATGTCTGTCACAGCCACCAAATAAGCTAGGGGGTAAAGATAATTACCCCCTAACAGCTTTACTAGGCCTGAAAGACACTAAAGCCGGTTAAGTTGATAGTAATTTAGTGAGGCTCCCCTGGGAGATAGATTGCTCCAAACATCTGTGGAATGGTCCCTATGATTATCATTCAAATCCACAAACACACACACTGTTTACCGTGGAGTCCAGCTTCAACTGGACCTGTCCACCACTGTCCACCTTGCTGGCTGCAGGGGTCACCGTAAACCTGGCCGATGGCTGGCGGTGGACCTTCACAGCGTTCAACATATCTCCACTGCAGGCTGCCATTGGTCGCGTCCCCTCGGTATCGCCTTGGGACGCCCTCTTCTCCAGTTGTTCCTTGGCTCTCTTCCTCTCCTCCTCTTCCTGTTGCCGTTTATGTAATGCTTCTTCCACTGCTGCCAGGCGGCGCTGTCGTCCAAGCTGAGCCTCCAGTAGCAGTTCCAGCTCCAGTCTCTGTACAGACCCAAGGAGAATCATGGACTCTGGAAATATACACAACATAATGGATATGATTGTCTTCTGAATGTCATAGCATTATACTGTATACATATAACAATATGTTAGTGGTCTAAATACTAAAAATAAATGTCTCATATATAACTGTTATAAACTGTTTGGTGAAAAAGTTTATCGGAATATCAGAGGAAAGGTGCTTTCAAACCTGATAATATCATGTAAAACTGACATACTAGAATATAACACTAAGTAAGAAGACTACAGAACAGTGTACAATGTTCAGTTAATAAATCCCATGTCTTGGAATCTCACAGAGATCCTGATATGCCAGTGCTATGTTCAAGGTATAACAGACAGGACAAAATAAGGGTTAAAGGAGGAGCTTTCACACATATATTTTGATTTTTAAAAAATCTGACTGGTTCAACACTGCTTCCACGAACCATGGTTCCATCCCTGGATAAAAACACATCCTGATTGGGATTTCAGACATGCCTCTGTTTGATTTGTAGGAAGAAAATCAAACTTTCTCCAGTGCCATTACACATGTGTGTGTACCCTACCTGGGGCATCCACCAATGGGAATGTTCTTAACTTGGATGTCTCCAACAGATTCTTCACATCCTGGTATGTGGCGATATAGCTGATAAACCTGATGTCACGGATCATGAAGTCCTCCACAAACACATTGTAAGTGCTGCAAAGACACCAGACATTNGGACTTCCTTTAGGACTGGCCCTGGGACTAGCTCGGGGGCTGGGACGGGGACTCTTCTTTAATATCCCTCTCTGTGGTGCCTTGGTGTACTTGTGTGGTTTCAGCGTGTCTCCATTAGCTGTATGTTCTGGTGGCTGGAATGACGGCAGAGATAATGTAGTAATATCATTTCACATATATTATCACAACTCTCTGGTTAATAAAGATTAAGACTGGGTTCTCATGCCTAGATCGATCCATCTGGATTGGTCTAACTCCCTGGGAAGTCTCAATAAATTGCTTTAAAATAACTGGCTTAAATGTCTGTCACAGCCACCAAATAAGCTAGGGGGTAAAGATAATTACCCCCTAACAGCTTTACTAGGCCTGAAAGACACTAAAGCCGGTTAAGTTGATAGTAATTTAGTGAGGCTCCCCTGGGAGATAGATTGCTCCAAACATCTGTGGAATGGTCCCTATGATTATCATTCAAATCCACAAACACACACACTGTTTACCGTGGAGTCCAGCTTCAACTGGACATGTCCGCCACTGTCCACCTTGCTGGCTGCAGGGGTCACCGTAAACCTGGCAGACGGCTGGCGGTGGACCTTCACAGCGTTCAACATATCTCCACTGCAGGCCGCCATTGGTCACGTCCCCTCGGTATCGCCTTGGGACGCCCTCTTCTCCAGTTGTTCCTTGGCTCTCTTCCTCTCCTCCTCTTCCTGTTGCCGTTTATGTAATGCTTCTTCCACTGCTGCCAGGCGGCGCTGTCGTCCAAGCTGAGCCTCCAGTAACAGTTCCAGCTCCAGTCTCTGTACAGACCCAAGGAGAATCATGGACTCTGGAAATATACACAACATAATGGATATGATTGTCTACTGAATGTCATAGCATTATACTGTATACATATAACAATATGTTAGTGGTCTAAATACTAAAAATAAATGTCTTATGTATACCTGTTATAAACTGTTTGATGAAAAAGTTTATCGGAATATCAGAGGAAAGGTGCTTTCAAACCTGATAATATCATGTAAAACTGACATACTAGAATATAACACTAAGTAAGAAGACTACAGAACAGTGGATAATGTTCAGTAATTAAATCCCATGTCTTGGAATCTCACAGAGTTCCTGATATGCCAGTGCTATGTTCTAGGTATAAAACACAACAAAACAAGGGGGGGGGGGGGGAGATGGAGCTTCATAAAAAAATGATTTTAAAAAAGTCTGACTGGTTCAACACTGCTTCCATAAATCATGGTTTCATTCCTGGTTAAAAACATATTAGAGATTCCTGATCAGAAATTTAGACATGCTTCTGTTTGATTTAAAGGAAGAAAATCAAACTTTCTCCAGTGCCATTACACATGTGTGTGTTTACCCTACCTGGGGCATCCACCAATGGGAATGTTCTTAACTTGGATGTCTCCAACAGATTCTTCACATCCTGGTATGTGGCGATATAGCTGATAAACCTGATGTCACGGATCATGAAGTCCTCCACAAACACATTGTAAGTGCTGCAAAGACACCAGACATATATATATGGCATGAAGTCCTTCTCAAGAACATAATATGGGCTGCAAGAAGGATATGATAACACATTTGACATGGAATATTTCACGTACAGAAAAATGTTTTGTACTGAAAGTATTACCTGGACTTGGAGGGGATGATATCACATATTACCTGGACATGGTAGGGATGATATCACATATTACTTGGACTTGGTGGGGATGATATCACATATTACCTGGACTTGGTAGGGATAATATCACATATTAACTGGACTTGGTAGGGATGATATCACATATTACCTGGACTTGGTGGGGATGATGTCAAATATTATCTGGACTTGGTAGGGATGATATCACATATTACCTGGACTTGGTGGAGATGATATCACATATTACCTAGACTTGGAGGGGGTGATGTCACATATTACCTAGACTTGGAGGGGATAATATCAAATATTACCTAGACTTGGAGGGAATGATATCACATACTACCTAGACTTGGAGGGATGATATCACATATTAACTTGACTTGGCGGGGA